ATATTTTTATTTACCAAATATATTTCATATAAAGTTAGTATCTATCTATTTTTACTACAAATATATTCGTCAAATATATGTAAAAATAAAAAAATGTAAATATACGTTATAAATCTATCATATTATATGTATGTATAAGTAATATACAGATCGGATCGGATATTCGGATTTTTAAAATTAATATTTATGATTTACTTCGGTTTTGACGGATACTAAATTTTATTATTTGCTTTGCTTTGATTCAAAACGGATATCCGAATTTTTCGGATAGGATCGAAACGAATACCAAATCGGATCGAATTTAACGGATAATTTGACCAGCCCTAATGGTGTTGCTGACGCCTCATGGCCTGTGATTAGGTTGCTTTCTTTAATATCCTTAAGAAAATGTTATCTACATTCATTGATGTGTAAAAACCTACTCTGTATTTGAGCTTTTCCGAATTAAAGAGATAGATTTTCCCATCGAGGTTCTTGAGGTGGACAAGAAGATCCTCGTTTTTGCGTGGGAGCCTAGCGGTCAAAGGTTTGCCGTGATTTACGGTGACCAATCAATGCCAGATGTTAGTTTCTACTCTATGCAGACACCCCAAAACCGTGGAAAAGTTTCAAAGCTTAGCTACTTTGGAAGCCAAGCAAGCAGATGCTCTGTTCTGGTTGCCAAGAGGGAAGCACATAGTTCTTGCTGGATTGAAAGGCTGCTTCAATGGCAAGTTTGAGTTTTTCGACGTGGATAAGCTTGAGATGTTGAAGCAAGAATCTGAAAACTTGGCAAGTGAAGAAGAATCAAGAGATTGTGATTAACACTAGATTTTACTAATTTCTTTTTATTAATTCATACATGGTCCATGTGATTTGTGTTACAAAAGTTATTGCCCCCATGTTTAGAAACCCAAGGACCTTGAAATTAAATTAGTATAATTTTGTAGTATTAACACATAGAGAAACCCCAAATTCAACAAACTTCTAAAAAATCAAAGCACACTTAAAGAATCTAATACAAAAAGAAGAAGAAAAAAGGTTCCTTTTTTGAACTTTTTGTGTCCTTTTTTTGGGGAAATGAGAAAAACAAGAGAGAGAGCTCAGATTACTTGCTCTCTGTTGTACCTGAAGATAGTTCTTGTGCTGACAAAATATGGCATGAACTTATCATAAGTTGTTGTTGTTGTGCTGAAACTTTTGTCCCCGGGAGCTATTTCACCATGAGCGAAAATCTAAAAGTGAAACCTGGTTCTATGGTTTTCCAACTGGAGGTACTTCAAGAACTATGTTATGAAGATAATAATAGTACGTAATCTCAAAGAGACACTTGTAGATGTTAGTCACGAAGAGGTATCACTACATTTTCTTTGTTGAATCGCCATTACATGCCGTTACTTTTGGTCCCTTGTTTGCTCTCTAATCTTATCTATGAAATATTTTGAATCCAGGTTGTCTCTCTGCTCCATTGCATGTTCTACTCGGAAACTCCTTTGACAGATGTTTTCTTGAAGAAACATAGCTTTTTCGGTATGTCAAAGTCGCTTGACACGCCGACTCTATCATCAGTGCAAAAAGAACCAAATGAAGAAGAAGAAGTTGTGTCACTCACTGTTTTTGTTCGTAAGGAAGACGGGAAAATTTTTTATGCGGAAATCGGACAAGACTTTGTGGATCTTCTTTTGACTTTCCTCGTTGTCCCTTTGGAGTATGTGTGGGAAATGACCAGAAGCAACTTAGGACGCATTGATAACTTGTGTGAAAGTTTCACGAGGAAGAAGAAGAGAAAAATGTACGCTTCCTTGGTATTATAGTTGCAAGAAACCTCTGCTTGATGTTTGTTATAGCGAACATGATAAGGATTTGGAAATGGCAAGCAACACTTGTAAACCGATAGATCCAAGAAGCGGAAAGATTGTTGGATATGAAGCGTGTAGCGGGTTTTTGAACAAGGGAACAAAGTTTATCTTACTATATCACACCCATCAACTTGTCATGCTCACTAAAGAAACAGAGGAGCAAGTAATCAACATCACCTCAAGTGGAACAGATGTTCTTGAAGAAGAGAGCTCAGATTCACCCATACGCGGGTTTATAATAATATTTTTGCTTATGTATAATGAAAACTTAGAAAGTAAAGAAAAATGCCCGTTTTCAAAAAATAACTCAAGTTGATGAAAGTAAATTCTGAAAATGGAGTAGACCATGTTCCTCTTCTCTGATTTAATTTACATATATTATTACCAATCCAAAAATCTAATTAAATTCATCGCAACCCGATATTTTAAATTTTAAAAGTTTTAATTTTAAAACAATTGAAAAATACACATGTTATATGAATTCTTACAAATAAATCTAAATCCGATATACATGAAATAGAAATTTGAATACTTTTATACTAGGGTCACCATAATTTTTATTATTCACATATAATAGAATTA